TGTTTATTTATTTTTTAATTGAAATTTCTATTACACGCTTCAAATTTCAAGCATTATTTATATAAATTGAAATTTTATAAGCGTGTCTTAGTTAATTTTAATAGTTTTTTCGTTATCTTTTTTCCTATTTTAACGACATTCCGAACGTCAAGTATAACAGACATTGTTAGAGATGATTTTTCAGTTTCTCAAGGTTATCAGTTAAGAGAATGCAACAGTAATTCCATTCCTACTAAACCTGAATTTTAATAATTAAATTCTGAATGAAAATTTAAATTTTTTAAAAAATAATTTTCCTCCTTCGAGATACTCCTAAATAGGAATGTTTTTATTTATAAATGAATGCCAAGTTCTAGAATTAAATAAATAAACTGTAGTAAATGTGTGCATTCTTCTCACTTGCTGTATATAGATGCAGGGTTGATACATTTCTTGGTATAATTTTAGTATTCTGAGAAGTGCCCAGCAGCATGCTGTCCCACTTCAACTATTGAAACTTAATTCTCTGCATAAAAAATAGGCCAATGTGGCCACATATCAGAATATCAGAAAATACTACAAGAAAGGAAAATAACGAGTTTGAAACTTGAGCAACTTTAATTGTAGAGAACTGGAAATTTTTTTTTTATAAATTATCTTGTTTAAATATCTTGTTGAGTAATAAAAATTTAAATACTAATGTCTTATTTTGAAATGAATTCATTAAATTTTAAATAATTAAATGCTTATTTTTAGACCGTTAAACTTAAGAACATTAAATTAGTTAAAATATTAAAACACACTCATTATCTGACATTTATTTACATTATTAAACTGAATCTATTTTTATTGTCATCTTTATTTCTTTAAAGAACAACTTTTATTTAGCAAATTAAATGCCTATTAAATTTCACATACTTAAAAATAAATAATTCTTGTTAAAATTCATTTCTATGGTTAAGTTTTCTAGATATTCCAAATAAAATGTCAGAATTTATGGGAATCTCAATATATTTCTGGCCTTAGGACATGTACTTGATTTATTGAGATTAAAAGAAAAATATGATCTTAATTTAGATCTTGACTGTACAAATATTTTTGGACATCAGAAGTTGCTTTATCACTTGATGACATCTGCATTAACATAAGTTTTTTTGACAATTTTTGTTTAAAGTTTTCCTTTTAAATCATTTCTTTACAAATTTTTAAAATTTTCCATAGTTAATTATTAACATTTTCTCCAAATAGTTTTTATATTTTAATAAATGTATTTCAGGTTTGCAATAGTTATATGAACTGGTTATAATGACTATAATTTCATAAAATACTTTATTTCCTAATCTGGTTTTCCTTCTATAATTTTATTTTTCTTGGATGGTTCTGCTGCATTACTTTCAAGTATTGCAGGGAAGCATCTTGCCAAAGTAACTGTTTCCTGGAAGTAAACAGGTTCCTTGATGTACCATTTGGCAGTGTTGTATCTTGTCATGAATATGGAGCATTTATGGAAGGGTGAATAATGGAATAAAACTTATTTGCATTATTTTAAAACTTAGATTTGAGTGTTTTTTGTATTTATCCTATACATATAAAAGATTAAAATTGTCAATAAAGTGTTAATTGTTTCAAATCAGACTTTGACTTCATATATTCTAGATTTAAAGTTCCATGTAATATTTGATGTTTAACACTTTTTAAATTCTATTTCAGGGTTTGACTAGCCACTTAGTTTTTGCCATTGCAGCTGCTGCATTGGGTTCTTCATTCCAGCATGGTTATAATACAGGTGTTGTCAATGCTCCAGAAAAAGTAAGTTATATTTTAATTTGATATTGTGTTTTTAGTGAATTTTTCTAACAAGTCTTCTATATAATTAGTTGGTTCAAGAATTCATCAATGAAACATATTCAGCAAGATTTGGAGAGAGAGCAGATAAACAAACTATAACAATAATTTATTCTATTATGGTCTCCATTTTCTGCGTGGGTGGAATGGCGGGTGCTCTAATGACTGCATATATAGCAGAGAAATTTGGAAGAAAGAAGGGCTTGCTGTTAAATAATGTGTTTGTTTTTATTGCTGCTGCTTTTATGGGATTTTCCAAGTTGTGCAGATCATATGAAATGCTCATTTTCGGTCGTTTTTTTATTGGTCTTAATTCTGGTATGATATTCAAAATTCAAAATCTACTCAGAGTGGAGATAACAGAATTTTTGAATGTAAATTTTTGCACATAGGTTTGAATGCCGGTCTTGCTCCAATGTATTTAACAGAAATAGCTCCTTTGCATCTGAGAGGTGCGGTTGGTACAATTTATCAGCTAGTGGTTACCATTTCAATTCTTGTATCACAGGTTCTTGGATTACCTGAGATTCTTGGAACATCAGATAGATGGCCATTTTTATTTGGTAAGAATTTTTTTAATTATTTATTTTGATTAGTTATTCTGCTGTAACTAATTATTTTTGGAATGTTCTACAATGACTGATTAAATTATATTTTTAGATATTCTAAAATGAGACAAATCTTATGCTATATATTGTGGGCATCACAGAAAATTTTCCAAGGATATAAAGATTGGAGACAAATAATTTAGTTTTTTTACATAAGTAGATTACAGAATACCACTTTGCATCCCAGCATGGTTGAGGGTATAAGGTTACATCTCAATCACTTTTGACCATAATTTGTGAAATTTTTTACTCAATTATGGTAGGGGCAAGCACCTCATATGCCCCTTCTGTGGATACCCATGCTATATATCATATCATTAAATGTTAAATATTTAAATATTAACTGAACATAATGTTCATCAGTTAAACCAGTTCTTTAGATAATTCTTTATCTTCTTAACATCTTTAAGGAATTAATAGGGATATTTTCCTTCTAGCTATGACAATAGTACCAGCAATCTTCATGCTTGTCACAATGCCACTTTGTCCTGAATCCCCAAAATATATACTCATCACGCAAGGAAGGGATGTTGCCGCACAAAAATGTAATTATTGAGTAATATAAACTTTGAATTATTGAAAGAATTGTTATAAAATTTATTTTGAATTATCTTTTAGCTTTAACTTGGCTAAGAGGTACAATTGAAGTACATGATGAGATGGATGAAATGAGAGCAGAATACGAATCTATGAAATTAGTTCCAAAGGTAACACTGTATGAGATGTGGCATAACCCGAGTCTTCGCCAACCACTCTTTATAGCGGTTGCTGTGATGTTATCGCAACAATTATCTGGTATTAATGCTGTAAGTATAAAAATTTCTTAAAAACAAATTTATATTTAATTTTTAAATTCATATCTAATAAAACTGTGTTGCAGATTATTTTCTTTTCTACTGGAATATTTGGTGATGCTGGATTGAAAGAAGATGAAGCACTCTATGCTACTTTAGGTATGGGTAGTATCAATGTAGTGATGACAATAGTTTCACTAATTCTCGTGGAAAAGTCTGGAAGACGTACACTTCATCTTGTTGGCTTAGCAGGAATGTGTATCTCAACTATTTTATTAACGCTCTGCCTGAAACTAAAGGTAACTAACTGGTTGCATTTTGTTAACCTGAATACATTTCTAAGTTTTTTTCATTGATTTATATAACTTTTTTATATTTAGGATGAAGCACACTGGTTATCATATTTCAGCATAGTATTGGTTATTTTCTTTGTGATTATGTTTGCTACTGGACCTGGTAAGTAAAGTTTGCCATCTAATTTTAAATTTTAATATCTAGAGAGGAATAAATTTATAAAAATCACAATAAAACTATTTCACAATATATGTAAGATCTAGTAATAGTAGTATTGTATATAAACTAATAAATACAAATTTTTGTAGGTTCAATTCCTTGGTTTCTTGTAACTGAATTGTTTGGCCATGGAGCTAGACCAATTGCAACTAGTATTGCTGTTGCAGTTAACTGGAGTGCTAATTTTATTGTTGGTCTTTGCTTTCTACCATTAAAGGTATTATTCTTTATAAAATAAAATTAAAACAATTTTTCCACTTCAAAGATATAATTCATTCCTTTTTATTATTAGAATTTGATAGGAGAATATATCTTCCTCATCTTCTCGGCACTTCTGGTGGTGTTTTTGATCTTCACATATAAGAAAGTTCCTGAAACAAAGAATAAGACTGCTGAAGAGATTGCTGCATTATTTCGTCAAAAGGCCTATCAATGAGTTATAAACACTAATATTGTGATGTGTGTATAAACAAGCAATAGTGATAGAAAAAACATATATATAAATGCACATTATAGTGGGAGGGGAAACTGGGGATCGTTTAAGATGGACCATGGACTTTGAATTATTTCAACAAATTACCTTTTAATGTGATGCAATAAGTTCCATTTCATGCAGCCACGAGACAAATATCAGCAAGTTTTACATTCAACGGCTGCATAATATACCACAGGGTACAGGACTGTCTGTGGGTATGACCAGATACGTATATGCCATATCTTAAGTGACATTAGCTTTGCGCATACCGTCCTGTATTGGACACGCTAACGGAAACTGTGCCTCGCCCGTGACTTGTATGTTCATACATTCACGTTGTTTAGGGTGCTTGTCACTGTGTGAATATAGAATATGTAAATAAGTGGAAAAAGTATATATTATACAAAGTTTCTAAAGGCATATACCCTGCAAAAATAGAAAAATTATATCAAGAAAATTTTAGAGAGATTTTGTAATCCAAGCACAAGGGTAACAATTAAATTTAAAAACCTATTTATATTTTAAAAATTACAGATTTCTGTAAATAAGATATTTAAATGAATATATATATATATATATATATATACAAAGTCATACCTGCTGCGTATTGATGTATTCCTGGTAATAATTTTAGGCAGCTGAAATTTAGAATTATACAATTTATTTTTATCATTTAAAATTTTTTGTAGTTTATTATACTTGAGCTTTAGTCATGCAATTGTTTGTAATTTATATTTATTGAAATTTGATCACTTCAAAATTGTTTAATACTTGTTTAGTAAACTGTTTTTTATTTAAGTATTTGTTGATAACTATATTAAAATCAAAATTCCGGACGAACGTCTGGAGCCATATACCACTGTCCAATCCATAATCTGTTAATAATGACATAGCGATTTAGAATTTTAATTGGTGCTTTGAACAATAATAATCAGAATTCTGGGATAAAAATTCCACTACTTACTAGAATTGTATGTTTATTGTGGATATGTTCATTTTAGCCATTCCATAAATTGTATATTAGAAAAATACTTTAATTATTAGTGAATCTACATGAACAATATTTTCTTCCTGGTTAAACAATGTAATTTGAGACTGTATGATTTTAAAGCCTAAAAGGGTGTTTGCCAAATAAGCTACCATTTCATATCAACTAGATCTGTTGTAATTCATCATTGTAAATAGTGTAACATAAATATCATTGATAGTAATATGGAGTGCTCTTTTCATCTTGTGGAGTTTGCTGTTTTAGTTTATCTTCAATAATGTCAGAAATAAGAAGAGCCAAAATTTTACCTTCCTTTATATGGCTGTTGGAAACTGTTCGTACAATTGAGAATGAATGTAAAAACAATGTAAATTGAAAGAATAAAGTGAACATATTCGGTGATAGTAATCTGTGTATTTAATAATTTTGTATAGCAGGTAAGTATTTAAATCTTGAAGCTATTTGGATGATCATCCTTCTAATTTTAATGACACTTGCAACATTAAAAGATAGCTAAATTTAAACTAGCTGAGCCCAGATCACTAAATATTTAGTCATCAAGACCCTGTCATTCTGATATAGAATATCTAAATTTATAATCTTGTAATTCAAGTTTTTCCCCCTTATGTAAATTTGAGCACTTATTTGATTGAAAATACAACAAAAATTTAGAGCACATCTTGTAAATGTGCTGATTATTGTTTTAACACTTAATCTTTACTGTTTATACTAATACTGTTTTCAAATTAACTTTGCTATTTAGCATTGTCTTGAAATTTTAAACATGCAATATGTAATATCCCTTGCAGCTATGACTTAAATTATATCTAAACAATTGTAGTTGCAATAAATTTGTCTCCAACTTACCAAAGCAAAATTTTTTAATGATAATTTGGTATTAAATTGGGTTAAATGTAACTGTTGTAACACTCAATATAATTTTAGAACTGAAATCAAATGTGTTAAAATTGCAGAACATGAATAGCAAGTTATTCCAATTAAATAAGGTGAAATTTTATTGCCATAGCAGTTTTCTATTTTAAATTAGAACATGATCACACCCCCCCTAATGTTTGCTGTATTCATGTAGATTCTGTGTTGTTTTAGTTCAATTTTCCTGTATTATAGGTTTCTCTGCCTTTTGCATAATTTCAAATTTGCTTTAATTTTTTTAGTTTTTAATAATTAGAAGAAATTACTTCAAATTTAAGAATATGAAAATTTGCCAATTAATACATTATATTATATGTATTTTTTTCAAAAACAAAGTATTGAAAAGATGTGCATTTTTTTTTTTAGAAAAATCTTTTGATTGGCTAAAGTTTGAATGTGCAGTATTCAAGAATTAATACTATATACTTGAAACAAAGTATTCAATGAGTACCTTATTAACCAAGTACCTTTAAAAGATTAATCAAACTGAAAGCAAACAAAAATTTAACAAATTTTTTTCTTGACAAAAAGATTTGTTTTTGTCAGATTTATCAATTGAGAGAGATATTATCCTACTGATATATAGAAGAGGAATATTCTTGACATGCACCTGTTTCTTGTTATACAATTCTATAAATTGCAAATGAAAGACTTATTGTAAATATGGGCAATTTTTACAGTAATTTTATCAATAGAAAAATAAATTTGGTTGATAATGTCTAACTTTTTTTGGATCAAAATTTGTTTTAAACACATTCACCTTTTGATGATCAGATTTTTTTCTCCTTTAATACAATTGCTAATGAAATTAATTTGGATAATATTTTTTATCACATGAAATTAGCACAATATTGCAATAAGTTCCAGTTTCTGAATTCAGAAATTAACAGCAATTAAATTACAACAAAAGAATTATTTATTCCTTGAAATTCAATTAGATTTATTTTAAATTTATTTACATTCAGAAACCTTATTTAAAGAATGATGATTCAGAAATCTTATTTAAAGAAAATTACTAAATGATATACAAAAATAATTGCTAATCCTAGAGTGACCTTAATCTTGCAAAATGTTTTAACATAATACATTATTCATTGTGCATACATAAGAAGAAATCTACTTGAAGCAATGTCTCTGTAATCTTTCTGTAGTAGTAAACTTTTATTTACATATGTTCTAATGATTTTATTGCTACTTTTGAGTTATAAACTTCAATTTGTGTGTATTTTGCAAGTGTTCTGCATTTGTATTTGTCATAAAAAATCGTGATTATTTAGCAGCATATTAATGATGATATCAATTCAAAGGAAAATATATCTGCTGGAAAGATACTAGTTTAATAATAATACTCAAAGCATCTTTCTGTCATGCATACACCTAGACTAATGACTAATGGGTCAATCTACAAATATTGAGTGAATATACAAAATAGTGTATTTGTGTTGTGTACAACACTCATTTCTGTTTTTAACTTTTGTAGTATGGTATAAAATAAAAATATGTTGGGAGGGGGACAATTTGCTGGTACAAAAATATTGGGGAGATAGGTATCAATCTATTTGGGCTAGACTGGACATATGCACTTAGATATCAAGTATCATTTGCATGTATTCTTTTGCTCATCCTTTTCTCTCACCAGCCCAAAAACAGAATTTTAAAATTACAACAGTATTTTATTAAAGCAGGATTACCTTATAAACTTTTGAAAAATGAATAAATTTCCATTTTGAGAATTGATTACTAATATGTAAAAACATTAATGGAATTTTATAATTAATATATAAGTTTGCTTCTATGTAATTTATTATAATTAAAATTTTCTTATAAAATAGATAATGGATCTAAAAAATAATTAATAAAAACTTATAAATCAGTAATGGATAATTCAGTACAATTGTTTTTATTTTTGAAATGTCAATTATTTAATGTAACAATTTGTATGAAATTTATTTTTAAAAAAATCCAAAGATTATGTAAAAACCCATTTAAATAAAATTTATTAAATTATACTAATTACATATTTTTAATTGTCAATGTTGAAAACAATAATACACAATGTTTAACTAAGTAAACCCATGTTCACTTTGCAAAGTTTTATTGGGCTCAGAAAAAGGATTACTCAGATCAGTAGTCTCATCAGTTTAAAATTTATATTGAGTCAAATGCATTAAAATCAAGGAAAAAACAAAAAGAGTTTATGATTCAAACAGGTGTGACCTTGCCTCAGCTTCTAAGTTTTCACAACTGCCATCTGCTTCTGAAATATCCAACCAAAAAACTATGAAAAGTCTATGGGAAAATTTGTAACTTTTGTACATTCTATCAGAAGTGACTTTTCCCACGTTTTTTGATTTTTGTGTCATCCTCACATTGAGCCAATGCTGATACATAACATCATGCATAAAATGATATGTAACTTGTACAGATTTAAACAAATTTAATATGCTTTTGCTAGCCATTAAAAATTAAGACAGTCAATCAAAATGTGGAAATGTCAGAATAAATATAATGAAAAGCGAATTAATTTATAAAAAATAATGAGCATTTTTGTGTAGTTAACTACATACTGGTTGCTTAGTTGCCTTACATTGCCGCTTCTTGTTTATAATATTTTGCAAAGAATATTTTGTTTATCTACTAGTAGACTGAATAACAACCTATTCATTTTTTTTATCAAGATACTAAATAATATGATATGTTATTTCTATTAAGATTATGAAATTGGAAAATGAGAACACAAAAATACTAACAAAGTCACTTCAGTTAAACAAAAATTTACTATAACATGAAAGAACTGTAAGGTCTTAAATCCATGATTGCTGAATGAGAAAAAGATGAAATATTTAACATAAAAAAGATTTTAAAATAAACACGTCATTTAAAATTTATATATATAATGAATATATTGTCACAATTCAACAAATCTTTAGACAACATATTAAACTTAAGTAGGAAGTTTTATTGTTTGAATTTCCCTGACCAAACTCATTCATAGTCAAGGATATTTAATTCAATACACAAAAGAAAAGTAAGAAAATTGCTTTCACATTTGTAATTCTATCGAGTTTCGTGTTACATTACATGTGTAATTTTATTAATAAGATTCAATGTTAATTCTATTGTTTTAATACTATTTTCTGTATATTTTTCATTTATTATTATTATTTTTTGTTTTTTCAAATGCAAAATCTCAATTCATGTTTTTTAAGTCTTTAATCTGTAAATTTAAAAAGTTACAAGAATTTTTTTTAATAACAGTAAGAAATGACTACTATAAAAATCAGAAAGTGAGAACAGAAATTTTCAATCATTTGATAAATGTTTGTGATGCTATTATAGTAACAATTGCATGCTATATCAGTAATGACGTATGTTGTCATGAAAATGTTAATAATTATAGTTTAGCTTATTCATTCATTTGAATGTTATTGCATTATGTAATTACATCAATTAGTATCTATCAAACGATATTTAAGCAGTTTTATCCTTTATGTAATTTAATTTGTCATAATGTAAATGCAAAACTGGAAATATATAATGAAAAAACTTATTTTAAAAAATAAATAATAATAATAATAATAATTTTGCTATAAATTTAGAGTGATTTAATAAGAATGGTATAAATTATTTAAACATTACAACATCTATGTTATTAAAATCATATTAAATGAAAATATATGTTATGTGCAATCATATCTGTGTAAACTGAACTTTCATGGTACCAAATATTTTTTCTGGTTTGGCATTTTAAACAGGTTCTTTTAACAGTGAAAATCGCTGCATTCTGAGGAATTTTTCCCATTTAGGCATGTTTCCGTCTTATTAAAGTTATGTTTTGGACAAGTTTTACCATATATATTTATTACAATAAACACTTATTAAAAATCATCTATCAACAGTCTTTTTTCTATGTCTTTTTTGTCTTTTTTTTAATTGTATCCAGAATTACCTAGCAGCCTACAATAGTGGCAGCTAGGTGACTATGGCAGGAGCTGACATATCCAGAACAGACTACCATAATAAAATTCCTGGGATTTTTTGACTGCCCAGGTTCCTAGAGTGATACATTGAAGCCTTAACTACCTTGGCCATCTGGCTGTGATAATCAGAAGTCACAAATTTATGGCGTTTAAAAATATACTGGAATTAGTTGATATTCAATCTATTTTTACTAATGACAAGGATGTCGATGTATGAAAATTTTTTATAGTTTTGAAACATGGCTTATCTAAAAATTGCTAATTCACTTATGAATTCTCATTATTTTAAAAGAATTTCAATAAATTATGTATTCAATATTAATTATTGGACCAGATATAACAAATACTGCTAAACTAATCCTAAGTAATCTTAATAATAATGTCAATACAAAATAAAATCAAATTCTAATGCAGATTTTGCACTCAGATATTTAATATATAAATACTTTGATTCAATTAATTAATGATTAATGTGATTTACATGATTTATCATGTAAATCACATTAATCATTAATTAATTGACAGTTTCACAGCATACAGCAACATACTCATTATAGTGAGTATGAGTAGTGATAATCTTCGTTACATTGATTCCACAATTACTGCTACGAATAATACAATTAAGAACTCCAAATTTTAAGCAAAAAAAACTGTATGCAGTATTGCATTTATTATGAGAAGTAAGCCAAAAATTAATATTAATTGAAAACAATATTTGTCAAATTAGACTAGTATAGAATATTATAGAATACTAATATTTCAAATATTTCTGTATACAGTATTTTGTAATTATATATATAAAATTACTGTACATGTTTCTTACATGTTTATTTAGTAAGAAAATAAAAAAAACTAGAATGTGTAGCATTGCACATAACACAGAATATAGTTTCACAGAGACCAAACTCTCCATGTAACTAGAAATTACTGTCATATGTCAATTGTAGCACTGTAAAACTAGGCCATATACATAATATTATGCAAAATTTTAAATAAATTAATTTACTAATTAAATAAATATGACATGTACAAACTTTTTAACACTCAAATTTGATCACTGATGACTAAATTTTTTTCAATTTTCATAAGTTAGTTGAATTTTACAAATGAGTACAACTATTTAAAATATTTGTTCCTTGTTAGAAAAAAAAATTTTAACTGCAAAATTTTATAAATTTAAAATTATTTAACTGTCAAAATAATTATTTATAAAATGATACAGAAATTAAAAACTTATTTCAAAATTTTGTTTGTTGTTCCCACAGTTTTAAACTTTTTCTGTTCTCTAAGCATGTAGATGGCCTCTATTTTTCCATGACAGTCATGAATTCAGCAAGGCCCATAATGGAACAGCTTGATGATAGACAGGACCCAATATATATGAACAGACTGCTCATGAAAAATTCCTGAGAATTCTGACCTAGACATGAATCCAGGTCTCCAAAGTAGTAGGCTGATATCTTCAAACTACCTTGGACATCCAGCCAACATTTGGAATTATGTTTTTAAAAAAAAATGTAGAATAAACAAGCAGTTATTTATTGTGACTTTGTCACAATGCCAGGCTGCAATTTTTAATCATTTTTTAAATTTATTTAATTTAAAATATATGCTCACCACCTCAAATTAGTAGTGTCTTGCCCCTGTACTACATCATACTTTTCCTGTTAGCAACAGAGTTGTGGCAACCATCTAACTCCTTTTGGGAAAAATTTTTGAATTGAAATAAAGTGACTTCTGGTGTAAACCTGAAGTTAGCATATAGTTAATTGGGGCCTCCTTCCCCCTAAGTTTTCCACAGTTGGTCTTGACTTTCATCTATCTAACTGTGTTCTCAAGATTAACAAAGGACAGACAAACAAACAACAATGAGAATTTATAGATCTATAATTTTTTCAAATTGCAGCCCAACAACAACCTTTAATCTAGTACTGTAATTAATTATAAAGAGTGTTTTTTTATTATATTCTGATCATTCAAGTCTTTTCCAAAATAAGTATGTAAAATAACTTGTTTACATCTAAAATCTGTTATTAAATTGTTTGAGAACAATATAATAAAATTACTTTTTTGGTACTTATATTGTTAGAATAAAAATATATATTAATTGTTTTTAAATATAAACAAGAAAAGTGAGTATGAGACAGTCACAGTGGAAAGGAGTGAACACATCTGATCACTATCTTTGTGTAATTTAACTGCATATTATAGAATATAGATGAAGTATATTTAACTATTAATGTGAGCATATTAACGTTTTATATCCAATATAATACTTAAACAGTAAATAAAAACATCTGGATTAATTGCAGTCTTAAGTCTTCATCTGTTTGAATATCGGAATTAGAACACTTAAGACGCCAAGGTACTCAAATTACAAATTTAAGTTGTTTAATTATATTATTTTTGACCCAGGTAATTAATAAAAATAAAACTCTTTTTAATGAAATATGAAGTTAAAAAACAAAAATTTTATTTATAAACTAATAAAATTTTATATTTAAATTTGTTAAAAGAATTTTCTGATTATAAACAGTCTGAAATAAATTATATTATGTGTTTTAAAATTTATTTTGTAATTAAAAAAGCCATCGTTTAAATATAATATTTTTTAAAACTTTTGTAATTAAAACAATTTACAAATTCCTAACTAGTTTGAAGCAAATAATAACTTTTTTTATTTATATTTAACTCTACTTTTACCAGAATTTACTTTTCATTTGATTGAATTTTGTCATATTAACAATGATGCTCCTTGCAATTTGTTCAGCATCCTTTGTTTGTCCATAATAATCAACAAATTCTCCATCAGGATTCACTAAATAAATTATTATGGTGTGATCAACCTGAAAATATAAATACATTTAATTATTGATATTATAATTATCATAGAGCAAAAAGCTGGATTTTGGAATATTTTTACATTAAAGTTTTATTAATTGAATTCTGGAATTTGGCTTAGAAAGCGATCAATCTTTTCTTTTAGAATTTTCTAAATTGTTTAATTAAATTCAAAATTTATTTCCAATCATTAATCTTAACTACAAAATGATGGAATAACGTATGTTTAGGCCAAATTCCATAATTTAATTTATTTAACTTCAATGTAAACATAGTCTGAAAATTTGGCAGTATAAATTCATGATTAATTAATCTGGATTTTAATTATTATTTATATATATTATAATAACAAACAAAAATATTATCTTAACTGCTGATTGAATGTTATAATAAAATTATGAATATCATAAATTTTTACAAAACTTCATTTAATAATTAGATGCATTTGATAATGAAACTTTAACTTAATAGAATGAATTTAAAAGTGTAATGAGGAAGAATGAAACATTCTTCCTGATGTCTGATGACTGGTGTGATTAATAATATATCAGTAAAATCAAGGATCGTCATAAAATAGAAAATTGTAAATTCACTAGCAAACCATAAAATTCCAGCATAAAAAAATGTTAACCATGCTTTTGACCTTTAAAAGATCATTTTCAGGTTACATAGATTCGAATTATAAAACTGGTTAACAGCTTTCATTATAACATAATAACAGTCTTTAAATTAGGTTGAAAACACTTGCAATTAAATGTTTTTAAGCTGAAATTTTATGGTATAGCATGCTAGTGAAAACCAATTTTAACAAAATAATCTTTATCATTATTAGATTAAAGTTAAATAAAATTTTCTGGTTAATAGTATGCTACGCATGATTTATTTGTGTCTGCTTTTTACAAAGTTTATTATGACACATTTATCATTCTTTTTGACTTCATATGACTTCTATAAGAAATCAAAAATAATTTATCCAATAGCTCAAATGTAATTGTACCCTAAAAATTTTGATTTCAATGATATCTACTAGTTTTTCTTTCACTGTTTCTTCCATTCAATTAATAGAATACTACTACTAAACTCAATATAATCTGTATCAATAAATTAAAAATTTATTCTACAGCATTGTATATTTAATATTAATAAATACTAATATTTTATAAAATTACTTATAAACATTATTAGTTCTTAACAAAAAAGTAAACACATCATTAAATATTTTGATAATTGTCTACTAATAATATAAATTAATTCAGTATAATAAATTATAAATATAATAACTAATCAAAGAATTTTTTAAGTAATAAAATAACTAGTAAATTTTATAAAATGACTAAAAAGATTTGAATGTATAATGTTTACATTATTTTTTGGTGATATCAATTGTAGAACCATTTAAATATTCATAAATGTTTATTCATTCATTTATTCTAATGAATGAATAAACATTTATGAATATTTGAATGGTTCTACTGTTTCTTTTTTCAGTAGAGAGAATAATCTACTGAAAAAATAAACAGGATATAGATTATAAAACTTTCAATTTCTAAATTATCAGCTCATGAATTCTTTATCATAATAAATATTTTAAAAAGGAAATGAATCATTTATGGAGTGATACAATGCATCAATGTAATATTGTGTCATTCATAGAAATATAACTTAATTATTTTGAAAGATCTGACTAAAGAATACAAAAGAAAAGAAGCTGATAAATAATCAAAAAGTTAAGATGTTTGCAAGGATCAGTACGTTAATATTACAAAAGCATAACATTACTATGGATTTATCTTCACTATATATGAAATTTAGCATTTGATCAGACAATGAGAATAAATGCATTGTTCAACAAGTCTATATTAATAGTTTTTGATTCAAGAGGATTGGATATATGTATGAGTTATATATAGCTATAGTACATACTGTATATAAGATACAGTAGAGCCTCGAAAACTTGGCCTAATGTGGACCGAAGGGCGGCTGAGTTTGTGAAAATGCCGGGTTATCGGGAATGGGGTTAAAAAAAATAAGTATGAGTGTTTCTTCAGAAAATACTGTACTGTACTTGTATGTATTATTTACTTGAGAATACAACAGAGAATAAACTGCCCAAATACCCTTAAACAAAGGAAATATACTGTCCGTCCTTTATGAAAGCATAGAATCTTTACTACATGAAAATGAAAATTAATGAATACACTGTGTACAGTAATTTACCTGATAAGATAGACCTTAGAAAAAAACTTTATGAGAGCTTTTATACTTTTATAAAGCTGTCTATAATGAAAATTAATTAACTAAGGATTCTTTTTGCCCTGCCAGGGAGTGGCCGAGTTATCCGGAGTGCCGGGTTATCGAGTGCCGAGTTTTCGAGGCTCTACTGTATAACTAAATACATTGTTCCAATCTTGTAATGTCATTTAATCATCTGACTGAAATCTTCATTAACATATAGTAGAATCTTATTTTAACAGATTGCAGAACAATGAATTTCTCAGAATAACAAATTTTTTTTCCAAATCCCGCCAAATCAATGCAATTTTACCTCCTTTTAGCAAATCTAACTAGGAATATAGGATTTATATAGCTCCATCCATTGTAAACTTTGCATTTTTCTATGTTTAGTTAATATTTGGGTGTTTCTGGAAATTTGTAAAATTTGACAATGCACTTGTTACATCTGGAATTTGTACAGTGCAATTGAAGAATTGTACAAAGAGAGTCAGTAGGTTGGTACAATTGAGGAGGAACCACCTAGTGAACATTTGACTCTGGTCTAAGTGTAGTGCCAAAATTTAGCGACCATTGAATCTTTCCAAGTCGTGAAGACCTTCCTTTCAAGTTTCAGCATAACAGAACAGACTGTATGTGACATTAATATCAACCGGTATTTAATAGGCAGAAAAGTGGCATCGAAACAAACCAAGATAAACAAATTTTTTAACAAATTGTAAAGTTGAGTGAAGTGCTAATGAGCTATGCGATCCTGTAATATACATTTTTCAATAGATTAAAGAACAGAAATCTTGAGAGATTGAATAATTTCAAGTACTGGCATTTCTTATATGTAGGGGATTAAAACAGAAATTTTTTTGAATAATAGATATTTTCCTTGGTATGTTGGAAATCTGTTGTTCGTGATATAACAGATTCTTGGAACAACGGATGATTTTCAGCAGCACGAGCAATCCGTTAAAACAAGATTCTAATGTAATCACATTTATGTGTATCCAATACTGGATTAGTATTACTATTAAGTCTTTTTTCTTACTTTATATTAATTAAATATGTATTCACAAATCATTTTATTAATAAAATTTAAAATACAGGAAACATAAAATGAAGATAAAACAATGACATAAAAAACAGTATCTTTTTCTCCACTTGTTTACATCTTCCATAAAAAGAAAAACAATTTATGTAAATTAATTGAAGTTTTATAAATAAATTTATCAAAGTGAAAATTATTTAATAATTACTTTTAAATAAAGCTTAATGTATTTTACATATAACGAAAGTAATATTCTTTAAATTAAATAATGTTTTTTAAATAAATCATAGCAATGCAAATAAAATATTTAATATATATAAAAATTTCATTTTTGTATCTTAGTAGGCTCTAAACACGCTGGAACATTTTTGGAATGAAAAATTGATAAACATTACATATGCAATTTGCCATCGCACACAAAAACCATAGGATACTATGTATGACTCAGATTGCTCATTTGAATAACAACCTGTTGTTTACATCTGGGTACTACCTATAACATTTAATTAAGGGATAATCAAAAATTCAGAATAAAATTTTTTATAGAGAAACTACTAATAGTACATTGTACTATTAGTAGTTTATAGCACAACAAAGGAAAACACATGCCAACATTAAAGCTCATCTCATTGACAATTGAGTCATGCTGCCCCACACACTCTTCTTACATATGATATCAAAATATATAGTCAAATATCCTCCAATAGTACAATGAAATTAGTACTAATAATAGTACAATGAAACTACTAATAGTACAATGTACTATTATAGAGAAACTACTAATAGTACAATGTACTATTATAGAGACTATGTACTATTGTACATATGTACTGATATGTACTGATGTACTATTATAGAGAAACTACTAATAGTACAATGTACTATTAGTAGTTTCTCTATAATAGTACATTGTACTATTAGTAGTTTCATTGTACTATTATTAGTACTAATTTCATTGTACTATTGGAGGATATTTGACTATATATTTTGATATCATATGTAAGAAGAGTGTGTGGGGCAGCATGACTCAATTGTCAATGAGATGAGCTTTAATGTTGGCATGTGTTTTCCTTTGTTGTGCTATAAAATGGGTGAGTTGGATGAGCAAAGTGTTGCATAAAGTTTTGCTGGAAACTTGGTAAGATTCTCACCAAAATGTATGAAATGTTTCAAGAAGCATTTAGAAACAGTACTTAATTGATCAAAAACATTTGTGTAGTACTCACTTATCAAAAATAGTCACACTTCAACTGATGATGACCCATATGTGGTGTCGGGTACAATCGTGTAAGAACACGATTCCTTCCTTTTTTTAAACTGGTAATGGACAAGAAAGACCGTTGAGGAGGCGACCGTTGTTTTTGAATTAGTGGCGCATGCGTCTCAGGTCAGAGACGGTTAGCCAGGAATTGTGTCATGCCATTGACCTCTGACAGAGCAGCAACCGTTGATTGGTTGGCAGAGAATCACACCACACAGCATATTTGCATAGGGCTACGGTCTGGTAATCACTGATTGGTTGTCCAGCCTGCTGTCCATGGCTATATAAGGTTGATGTAGGAAGCGGGAGATTCAAGTTCACTTCGGAGCTTCAAGTTGACATCAAGTTCGCTGTAGATCTGCAAGTGTGCATCAAAGTTTGAGTCAAGTCTGGATTTGTCTCGCTGTCTGTTCTTCAACTGCCAGAAGAAGGTTACTTCTAGCCAACAACTTGTCGATTCGTCATAAGATGTCTTCTTGAC